CCACACCCACACCCTTCAAAATTTCTTAACTTCGACATTAACATATGAACATTTGACTTTTTATACGTCAAATTCAACAGATTTTTATAATCTTTCATCATTTATTGTCTCAATAAATACATCTAATGTATATCAATTAACAGAAAAATTTAATTGGAAAAATATTTTGTTCGTTATTATACTAATTCTAACTGGTATCATATTATGTATTATATTATCTATATGTGCTTTAATAAAATATCGTCGAAAAAATGTAGGTGTTTATGAACTTGAAGTGACACAACGTTTTCGACCGTTAACTGTTGAATTATCTCAATCACCTGGTGAAAATAATCAAGAAATATTAAATTCAACAACAAATATTTTAAAGAAATCTAATATCAAATCACATAAAAGACGAAAATGTAAAGACTCATTATTATTAAGATTTGACGAACAACGGGAATTTTATATATAAATATTTCTCCTTTTTTTCACAACTAGTTTTTTTTTGCTTGTGAACATATAAGATAGATTTGACCAAAATAAATAAATAATCATTGTCGAGATAATTTCTTATTATTATTTATTCTAGTCTTTGCCTATCATGCAGACTGAGTTAAATCATTAAAAATTGCTCTATCTTTTCAATAGTTGGTTTTATAGATTTTCTACAAAAAGTAAAACGATTAATGTGACGCAAATGATAAAGAGTATTTGCATTTGTAAAAGAAATGTTACAACGGGATAAGGATAATAATAAAGCATTGTTGATAGCAGAATCTCTCTATGTCAATACTTCCTTATTCTGAACAGTGGGCACTTATTTCTGGTCCTATGAGCAATAAGAATGGGTTATATGCTGGCTTTGTAGCGCAACTTGGCGGGAATATAAGAAAATATAGAAATTGAAAAGCACCATTTATATAGTATTCTCTTCAGCTATATAGAAAATAACGTACGATGCAAAAGTAATGACATAAAATATTGACCCTTATACTTAGGTCATACCAAAAGTCTTTACGAAGCTATGTCAGTTTCTTCTAGAATGTTTGAAGGACTTTTCTTTCTATATAGACTGATAGAAAAAACAGAGCTCTACATTTCTACACTATTTGATCATTATCTATCTAATATTATAACAATAAAATTTCCATTAGATATATTTACCTATGATATGTAACAATAACATTAGTTCATATTGTCTTCAATGTGGGTGTGCATGCGGATGCGGTTGAGTGTGAGTGTCGAGTTGACTATGCGTTACGCTCATATTCCAAGCCCACACTTACATCTACATCCACACCCACACTCACATTGCAGACAATATGGACTAATGTTATTGTTACGGGATATTGATTTATGATCAGTAAAAATAATGAAATGATCAGTACATAAAATAATTGTAAAATCAGTACATTTTATGATTGACCAGTAAACTTTATGATTGATCAGTAAAGTAAACATATGATCAATAAATTATTTTAATGGTCAGTTTTTAATAGATTATATTTGTAAATAAATTTAAAAATCAGTAAGTAAAATTTATTAGCAGTAGATAATATTAAATTATCAGTATAAAAGTTGAAATGGTTATAGCATAAATCACTTTTCTTTTTCTTTTTCTTTCTCTTCAGCTGTTCTACATATGTTCATGTTCTTTTAACCTATTTCTTTTAGCCCACATATCTTATGAATAAGAAGAATGATTGTTTTAACCAGGGATGGCCCGAGACAGCCAACATTGGGGTGTTGTCGCGATTTTTTGGGTGATTGTTCCGGTTTTTTTGTATTGAAAATAAATTTTTTTTTAATACAACCCAAGAAAAAATTTTCGGCTTCGCTGGAAAAAAACGAAAATTTTCAACTATGGGGGGGATTGCCACAACCCTCACAACTCCCAGTCAGGCCATCCCTGGTTTTAACTCTTCTTATTGTTCACTATCTAAAACAAAGGAAACAAAGCTTCTTGCTTTCTCTCTGTCGTCATCTTTATCTATCCTCATGTATAAATATCTATTATTTTTCAAAGAAAAGTAACATAGTTTTCGGGTACAAAATTTGAAGTATTGTTGAATATGGAAGTGGTACCAGTTGCTCAATATGAAAGTGATGTATCAGATGAAGAAGTGGTAGGAAAAGATCATGAGATAAATTAAAATAAAAGATCTCAAAAAAAGAAATCAAAACTTTGGATCATAAAGGATGCATTTGATCGTGCTGACGAAGCTGAAGCATCAGTTGGAAATCAATGGTCAAAATATTACACAAACTATACAGAAGATGGAAGAAAATGTTATTACAGACGCAATAAAGTCAAACTTCGTGCTCTTCAATGTCCTGCAAGTATTTATCGATTATACCATGCAGATAGTGATAAAGTAACCGTTTATCAAACAGAAGCTGCACACGAACATCATAATGGTTCAACTCGTAGTATTGATGAAAATGTGAAAAAGGTTATAGAAAATTTAGTTAATAATGGAATAAAGAAACCAAAACTAATTCTTCGAGCACTTCAATCAAGAGGAATAAATGTGCCAACGTTAGCCCAATTAAACAATTATCTTGTACATTATAGAAAAAAGAAATTTGGTGCAAATAAAATAAGTTTAGGTGAATTAGAACAATGGTGTAAAGATAATCAAAATATTCCACTTGATGAAAACGAATCTTTTGTTATATCTTACAAGATATTATATGAAGATGAAGATGATGAAGATGCAGAAGATAATGATGGAAACAAATTTCGTATCTTTATATCATCTATTCGTTTGATAAACATGGCGTCTATCTCACAACATATACATGCTGATGCTACCTATAAATTAGTTTGGCAAGGTTTTCCGGTACTAGTTATTGGAACAACTGATTTCAATAAAGCATTTCATCCATTTGGTTTAGTAATATGCTCCTATGAAAAACAAAAGATTTTGAATTTATCTTCAATAGTCTTCAAATTGGTATGCAAAAAATCAATAAAACTTCATTAGAACCAACAGCATTAATATCAGATGGTGCAGATTCAATCAAAAATGGTTTTAAAAATGTGTTTAACAATTCATATAATCAAATAATGTGTTGGGCGCATATGAAAACGAAAGTTGAAAATCGTATATGTCAAGTAGATGATAAAAATATTAGGAAAGAAATAATTGATGATATTGAACTGCTTCAGTTATGCAATGCTACAGCTGCATTTGAATTAGCATCAACATTATTTATGAAAAAATGGAATATGAATATGAAGCAAAAAACCAAACAATTTTAAATTTTTTGAATTATTTTGATTCTGAATGGCTAAAATCACACAATGGCTGGTACGAAGGTTTACAACTATACACACCAAGTACAAATAATGCACTAGAAGCAACAGACAAAACAATCAAAGATGATGGAACATTTCGAGAACGTCATGTTTTATCAAGATTTTTAACAATTTCTTCAAATATTATTCATAATTGGTCAATTGAACGTGATCCATCATTAGCAAATGCAAGAATATTTGCTACAGAACCAACAATATCTTTGCAATTATGGACCTCGTCATATCAGTGGGCTAAATCAATAAAAGATGTCATTTGCATTCCAAATGACTCTTCGAAAATGTATTATATACCAGCTTGTGACTTAAAATCAATTACACGAGCTGAATTAATTAAATATAACAAGAAATGGACAACTTTCGGTCAATTCAAAGAATCATTTGATATTTGGTGCATGGAAATACAAAATGATTCACACTGGAAAACATCCAAATGCAACTGCTCAGCTTTTCTTAAGAATTACATATGCAAACACATCGTGCGTATGGCTACTCGTTTGAAGTACTGTAAACCACCAGCAGCAGCAAAGACAGTGCCGATTGGTCGAAAAACAAAAAAAAAAGGTAGCCCAGCAAAGGTTGAAACTGCTTTACTGATACAATGGTTCAATTTCCATTTTTCTTTAATTATTCTTTAAATTTCTACTTATTTATTCTGTAGTTTCTTTATTTATTTGAATTTATATCTACTAATAAAGGTTATTCTTCTACTGATACATTTTTATTTTTTACTGATCGAAGTTGCATTTTTTACTGGTACAAATTGAAATTTTTTACTGATACTTATATTTAATCAACTGATCATTTCAGAATTAATTACTGATATTTTTAGTACTGATCATTTCATCTATTTTACTGATCGCTTAAATGGTAGCCTATTGTTACATATCATAGCTAAGCAAGTCTCATGGAAATTTTATTATTATGATATTAGATAGATAATGATCAAATAGTGTAGAAATGTAGAGCTTTGTTTTTACTGTCAGTCTATATAGAAAGAAAAGTTCTTCAAGCATTCCAGAAGAAATTGACATAGCTCAAAGTAGTTCTGCACTTTTTGTATATTTCACAATAGCGACACAAAATGCTGACTATTATATCTCTTCTTTAATCACATATGTAAGAACGATAAATTTTTTATCAAGTAATAGGAAACTTTCTCTTCTTTCGAGCTGTATATAAATTGTTTTTGTTATGCGCTCGTAAATGAAACGACAAGAAGGAAAGAAGATATATTCTTGCAAGACGTTTTTGATCATTTCATGAATATATGGAAGAAATCCTGTAAATCAGCTGCAATATGATATTAGGATGATAGCAGACATATAAACAGCTGACACCTGTTAATGAAAGAGAACAGAACTTCTATTTCTCATTAGAAAAAGCATGAGGAACAAAAAAATCTTTATTTAACAACGGAATATAGTCCATCACGCCACATGTGACGAAGATTCTTTCAACCACCTTGAACCATAGCTTGTAATGTAGTTTTACTAAGTTGCTTGATCTTTTGTTTGATTCTAACTAGAAGTCAATACATTTAAACTTCTAGCTTTCAAATTATTCTCATACACTTTTTGCGTTAATAAAACCAAAACTGTTTCATTTTGGTAGTGCAGTTGATTTATACGATTTCTCTGATAAATCTGTGAAAAAATCGAACATTTCTTCTTTTCTTCGTATTATTTCGTTTATGAATGTGTGACAAAAACAAATTAAATACAGTTCGAAAGAAGAGAAAATTTTCTATCAGCTAATGAAAGAATTATCGTTCTAACATGTGTTTAAAGAAAAGATATCGTAGTCAACATTTTGTGTCATTCCTTTTGCATCTTACGTAAGTTATCTCATCTTTTCACATTTCTTTTTTCTCTTCCATAATTCTAATAAAACTCAATAATTCGAATTTGAAGTCTGGTGATCGTATACAAAGTGAAAATGCTCGACAAAGTTTGCCGTTTGGATTCCAACACATTTTTATGTGCATTTTAGCTTACGTTTGGTTTTTAATTAAACTAACAAGATTCATTGTATTAATGACTATCGTCTTTCAATTTCTATTTCTATTTCTTATCAAGTTTACTTGGTTTGTTTTTATTCGTATTTTATTTGTGTACATTCGGCAAGAACGAAACTCGTGCTTTACCTATATGCCTTCAAACTAATACGGCGGAGTTTTTGCAATTATGCTTTATCATCATTGTGTAGTGGCTTTACTGCACATGTATTTTTGTTAAGCAGATAAGCAAAGAAAAAAAAAGAAACGCATGAGCAGTCAAATGATTATTACAAATTAGTGTTTACATATTTATTTGTATATGTTTCTCTTCGATATTTTTCATCATAGCATACTTGACAGGAAAGCCAAATGAATGATAGACAACCTTTATTAAACGCTACCAATAAATTATCGATTGTTGATGATGATGATGATGATGATGCTAATAGTGGGAGCAAGAAACAACTTTTGATAAATAGGTAGGATCTAATAAATAACTAACTTCAGAAAAATACAATGAATTTATCATTGTTCATAGTTTTTCTGATTGGCACCGATGTTTTAATAGGCAACAGAGTGATAATAAATATCTAAAACTAGACAATGATACTGAACATAAAGACAAAGATGAAGCAGTTGATGCTTTCCATTTAGTAAGTGTATTCAAAGGAAATTCAAACTGATTGATGTATTTGATTTTATTGTAGTTTCGGTTTTCAAACTGTATCGATTTTCTTCTGATGTTTATTGCATTGTGTTTTATGTTGCTGCAGATAGCTTGCATTATAACCAATCGAATTCTTACTGGCCGACTCACAGGAATATTTGCTATTAAAGCATTTGGTGCTTATTGTAATGATCAACAACAAAATTTTACAGCTCCAATAAAGAGGAACAATACATATTCTCACGACATTGACATCAATATATTCAACAATGCTCTGTCACATAAGTAAGTAGCTAAAAACTATTTTTAGTTACTATGTATTTCTTCTATTGTCCTTTGGTAAATGTTCACCTTAGACTACGTTATAATAGTCCTCTAATTTTATCATCAACTTTGCCTACATCATTGTCTTCATTTCGAGAACAAGTTATGAACATAATTTGCTGGTTATTCAGTAAGGAATATGAACGTAATAATCTGATTATAACAAACAATGCATATTATCTTTTCTTTCTTGTCTATGTAGTTGTCAGTACCTTCGAATATCTGGCCGACTCTATGAAACATTTCATTTGGAACATTAGTATGAAACGACAGATATTTCGTATGAATGTTTCCCACTTTCGATCACTTGTTCAACGCGTAAGTCAAATACATTTCCATTTACAAAAATGGCCTCAAAGTTAAATTCCAGTCTTTTCTTAGCGCCTCTTTAACCTTATAACATCTGATGCTGTTTCTTTTTAAGAAATTTTCACCATCCAGAAATTAACAATTCTAGCAAACTCACGAAAAAAGCTATGTATGCCAGGAGATGCCTATATTTCTAGGATTTCTAGATCTGAAAGGAACCATTCAGGGTAACAGTGCAAGGGTGAGTTTGTATATGGATTTCGAAAAAATCTACACTCAAACCTATACCCACAAAATTCGAAAGCATGCGTTTTCGAAAACTCTGTTATCTTATAAAAGTATCCGGGAAATAAATATATCAACAATTCAATAACTCTGACAAATCTCAACAATGTAGGTGTGGGTGAAGAAAAGATCCACATCGATACTCTCATATCATCGTAGATCTCAAAAGTGTGTTTCTAAAATGCGCAATATTTGATTACCTCTGAAAAATATTTGTTTATTTTGGAGATCTAACTCTACAATAAATTTTACTGATTGCTCTAGACACCATTATTTTTTCAGATAGTTTCAAAGATTATTCATAAAACTCTCCAAAACCTTCGAAAATCAAAACTATATTTACAACTTCGTACAGTAGGCAACTCTGGCAACACGTTTATGTGTTTATCTCAAAGATCATTTTTTTTGACGAAAATCGAGTTTTCTAAGTAGGGAGCTTTAGTACACAAGTTATTTAAAATTAAGAGGATAAGTGGCTAGAGTGAAGATAATACTATTTCGGTCAGTTTTGCTCGGTCAGAGAGACCTATTTTATTGAAATAATGATTCTTTTTAAATAAAACTTGACTAACAGTTTTCAAGCTCAAGGAATCCGAAGCTCTATACGATTTTTCGAAACTCATGAGTCGCATTTTATCAGATCTTATAACCTGAGATTTTTATGTTGCCAGTCAAGTTTTATAAAAAAAGAAAACAAGAAAAGGGAATGTTATTTTCGCCAATATAGTTTTCTTGACTGAGAAAAATTGATTGAAATAGTATAACCCTCATGCAAATCACTTATTTACTGAATTTTAATTAACTTATATGTTAACAGAAAAAAACTTGAAGATATCATCAACGGTTAAATAACCTGTTGACCGTTAATAATAACGAGTAATGTGATGTCACTTACCCATTTTTTTATTAATATTAATGATAAAAATGATTAGCCAATGTTAAATATAAAATTATTGTAAATGATCCACCTCTTTCAAATGGTGCTCGTTTTAGATATAGGGATATCGGTATAGATATTGATTGATAGATACAAATTTAGAGGGACAGACTGATAGAATAGATTAGGGGTATACATTGAGCAATTACATTAAGAAATTAAATTAAGCGAATAGATATAGATTCAGAGAGATAGATTAAAAAGTTAGATTATAGCCACACATTAAGAGATACATAAAAGAAATAGATATAGATTTACGAGGATACATTTATGGAAATATATTTAGGGGTTAAGGATAGGAGACTAAATTGAGCGAAATAGACGTATACAGATTGAGATAGGAAAAGATCAAAATGGTCACAAGACAGGAGGGTTGTATTGTTCTGGTGTTCTTTTCCATCCCACAGGACAGACAGAAAAAGTCGTTCCGTGCCAATATCTGGTATAGATATAGTAGTATAGATACAGATAGATGGATCGATATAGGCTTAGTGGGATTACATTAGAATTCGTATGAAATTTTGATTACGAAACCTTCCTTGAAACTAGGAGAGGGAAGTTACCGTTATATTATCTGGTAATTAGTAACGGATCCGTTACCAGATACGCGGTAACATAACTGTCTACTCTGTAAAAAAAAAGTATCATACTGAACCTTTCTTGGTACCATTTGATGAACCCTTTTTTAAGTTCTAGCCAAAAAATCTAGAACTTAAAATAGTCTTAGACAGAAATGTGGAACTAAAAAAGGTTTTAGACTGTTTTTCTAGAACCTAAAATAAGGTTCAGAAAATGGTACCCAAATCTAGAACCATAAAAAGTTTTAGACCTTCGCTAAAACCTTTTAAGGTTCCTTATGACACCTTTGTTTTTTTAGGGAGTAGTAAGGGTAACTTCCCTCTCCCTATTTGAAATCAAGTAAATATGGTTTTGTACGTAGCTTAAAAAAGGTTTCGATTTCGTGGCAAAATTCGCAACCTACTTTTAAGTCCGTCTGACATCTTTTTTTTAAGTGTAGAACATGAATATATATAGTCAGAGTTGCACTAGAATTTTCAAAAACATAAAGTTGGCGTTGGATTGAAATTTACAAAATATAGATGAAGTCAAATTTTGGCAATAGGAGTGCAGTTAGAATAACACAGTCAAATTTGTCCATCTTTGACTGTTTTTCTCTCTCTCTCTCTGTTTTTAGAGCATTCCTTACATGGATACTCAACCAACTAGTCAACTTCATGCTAAACTATTTGAGTAAGTTATTGTGATGTTGTGTATCAAATAATTACATCTCATTCAATTCTTGTACAGCAACATTGCGAAGATCGATAAAAGCATCTGTTTTGAATTGTCAGCATTGATCGTAACGTTACTTAGCCTCATTGGTTTTTTGATAGTATCTTTCGTTGTCAACTGGCAGCTGACTTTGATCATGTCATGTTTGGTACCTTTAGTCATTGGTAGTTCCTTTGTGTTTTCTAAGGTATGAAATGTTCTTCAGTCAATTAAATCTGTATGAAATGTTGCAGCTTACGGCTAATGCAACAATGAATGAGCTAATGACATACTCGAAAGCGGGACAAATCGTTCAAGAAGTGTTTAGTTCACTAAAAACTGTTCTGTCTCTTAATGGTAGCAAATTTGAGCAGAAACGGTAAACAAATATATATATATATTAACAGTTTACCTATTTGATATCATAAAACATGTAGTTCTCTTTATTGTATTTAGATATGAAAGAGAATTGCATTCTACTCGTTGGAATAGTATACGACAAGGTGCGATATTTGGAGCTTTTACTGGATGGCTATCTCTAATAGTGTACCTGGTTTATTCAGTTGGTTTTATCTTTGGTTCTCTTTTCATGTCAGACGGAGCTCATTATAGTTTGGAGATTAGTGATATTTTTATCGTGAGTAATTCATATAATCAATCATTATGTAAATGACTAAAGGATTACTATTTTAATGCAGGTCGTGTTCCTCTTTGCAGATTGCTTGTGTTTCTTCAGTTTCATTGCTCCTTTTTTCCAATCAATTTCGGAAGCTCGAGGTGCAGCAGCAGCGATCTTTCGACTTATTGATGAGGTACATCCGAGTAAATTGATGTTTCATATTTATGGCAATGTTTTCTATTTGTTTAAATGACATAGGGAAATGATCCAAGTATCAATGAAGCAGATGTATGGAAAGATGATACAGAATCAGTTTATAATATCAATGGTGATATCGAATTTGATAATGTTGACTTTATTTATCTATCTCGAAAAGAAGTACCAGTTTTGCGTAATCTCTCTCTTATTGCTCGTGCTGGTCAAACAACTGCTCTCGTAGGTTCAAGCGGCTCTGGTAAGTCTTTCCCAAAAAAAACACAAATGTTAAAATGATCTCATTTGTTTTGATTAATTATTTATAGGAAAAAGTACATGTATGTCACTGCTTCTTCGTTACTATGAACCTTCATCGGGTCAAATAACGATCGATGGTCGATCAATAACAGACTACAATGTCAAACAACTTCGAGAAAACATTGGAGTTGTTAGTCAAGAACCTGTAGGCTTTATCTTCGTTTTTCTTTTCTTCATTTCTATTTAATTTACTATTGTAATAGATTTTGTTTGATATGAGTATTTATGAAAATATTCGTTTTGGTAAATTAAATGCAACACGAGAAGAAATTGAACAAGCAGCACAAGAAGCAAATGCACATCATTTCATCATGCAATTACCAAATGTTTGTTCCAAATATCCAGCTTTGTCTTTATCTTTATCTATATATATGTATCATTATTTCTTGTTTAGAAATATGAAACACTTGTTGGGGAACGTGGTGCACAGTTGAGTGGTGGTGAGAAACAACGTATTGCATTAGCTCGTGCTCTTATTAAACAGCCTACATTTCTCTTACTGGATGAAGCAACAAGTGCACTTGATAATGCTAGCGAAAAAATTGTTCAAGAAGCGCTAGATCGAGCATGCAATAGTAATAATTGTTTTTTTTTCTGCTTATCATATTGATATAACATTTTGTATAGATCGTACAACTATTGTAATTGCTCATCGTTTGACTACAATTCGCAATGCCCATCAAATATATGTATTAGATAATGGAAGTGTAATTGAGCAAGGTACACATGAAACATTAATGGCAAAAGAAGGAGGTAAATATCAAGTAATGGTCAAGCGTCAACAAATGGAAGGAATCTATGATGATCAAGATAATATGATAAGCATACAAAAAGCGACAGAAGAAGATGAAAAGTCAATGGGTATGTTAATACTCTTATAGTAATAGTCTTCACATTTCTGTTTTTTTCTTGAACAGTTGAGCAGTCTTGCTTATTTAGCGATAGTCAACGTGTCGATGTGAGCAACGTACAGATATGACTACAATTATTTATAAAAACCATTTTTGATAATCTCTCTTTTAGCAAAGTACAAAGCCATTTAGACAAAGACTTGTTTTTTTAAGACTTTTGTCAATGAATAGTCCTGAATGGATTACGGTCTCAATTGGTTGTATAGCGTGTGTACTTAATGGAGCAGCTCAACCATTGTTCGCATTTTTACTTGTCAAAATAGTTGAAGTGAGTGATGCATCCATACAAACATTATGGGAAAAGGATTGACAATATCAATTATTTTTTGTTAATTTGTTCATTGCATAGGCTTTCAAATATTGTGCAGCTTCTGAAAGACGTCAACACGTGCTGGTTACTAGTTTTCTTTTTTTACTTTTGGGCACTGTTTTATTTGTTCTTCGTTTCTTTCAGGTAAATATGCTGTTTTTGAATTCGATCAATGATTTATTTACTCTTTTCTATAGTATACAGCTTTTGCCATATCAGGATCAAAATTGACACAACGTATTCGTTCGAAAGCTTTTGCAAGTCTTCTTCGTCAAGAAGTTGCTTATTTCGATCGACCTGAAAATAATTCCGGTGCAATTTGTACTCGTCTTTCTTCTGATGCATCCGCTATTCAAGAGATGACTGGTGCACGATTAGGAGTCGTCTGTGAAGTTCTCGCCCTATCGTTTTTTGGAATTCTCTTTGGATGTTTCATAAGTGGGCAACTGACATTGATAATTTTTGGTTCTTTGTTTATCGTATGCTTAGTCGCCTATGGAGAAATATGCTTACGTCTATGGCGGAATCAACAATCTGATCATATGTTCAGACAAGCAAGCACAGTAAGACCAGTTTTTAGCTAATAATCTTGTCTTTGCAGGGAAAATTATTTTATTGAATTTTTGATAAATCAAATACACTATATTTATTCTATCTGTTACTTCTTCAGCTTGCTGTTGAAGTTATTCACAATATGCGTACAATAAAGCAGCTATCAATAGAAAAGGAAGTGTTACGACAATATTCTGAACTTATTCATAAACTATTTATGTTAGTCAATTGAATCTTATACATGTATAAGTTTTTAATCATTCTTGTTTTGTCATAGATCGTCTTGGAAACTTTTGTTCCTATCTTCAATGGCATTTAGTATATTTTGGATACTAGATATATTCACTTTGGCATTTCTGTATTGGCGTGCTCTCATCCTTGTTGAAAACAACGAACTCACCTCAAACCAAGTTATGACGTAATATAAACTACGGTTTGATTATTTCGAGACGATGTTTCGTTATGTTTTTAATTTATTAGAATCTTTGCGGTGGCTGTTTTTACGATGCAAGCACTAAAAGTTCTCGGGATGACGTAACACTCTCAATCTTTATTTGATTGTCTTTTTCTTCTACTATCTCCATTCTAGATCTAGTCGTATTGCTGCATCAGTCTCAGCTGCTGAAGCATTTTTTGATTTATTTGATCGGAAACCAGCTATTGACAATACATCTACTGAAGGACAAGAACTAGTAAGATAACATAGAAGATAACTATCTTTTTTAATCATGCGCATGCTATTGATATAATATCATTCTCATAGGTTGATTTTTGTGGAGAGATAAAATTTGATCAAGTCAAATTTATCTATCCAACTCGACCAACATCAATTATTTTTAACAAACTTCAATTGAATATCAAGCTAAGTAAGTGTGATAAGTTTTGATTCAGTCATTTGTTTCAAATGTTTATTCATTGATAAGGTCAACATGTGGCTCTTGTTGGTATGTTTGAATTAGACGTTTTTTTTTTGAATGTTAAAAACGTAATATGATGAGTGCAGGTGGATCTGGATGTGGAAAATCAACAATTATTCAACTACTGGAACGATTCTATGATGTTACAAGTGGTAAAATAGTTCGTATTTTTTTCAAAGTATAGTTTAAGTAGTTCTATAAAATTTGTTCACTTAATTTAGCTTCTTGATGGTATTGATATTCAAAAACTAAATCTTCAATGGGTTCGTTCTCATTTTGGTCTTGTTAGTCAAGAACCAATTTTGTTCGATTTAACTATTACTGAAAATATAGCATATGGCTTAGAAAATGTTCCAATGGAAGACGTTATCAATGCAGCAAGTAGGGCTAATATTCATCAGTTTATTTCCCAGTTGCCTCAGGTTAAACAATAAAAAATTATATAATGTATCTATTAGTATTACACATAGTAAATTTTTTTAGGGTTATGAAACAAAAGTAGGATTGAAAGGTAGCTTTCTGTCAGGTGGCGAAAAGCAACGTATTGCTATTGCTCGAGTTCTTCTTCGTCGACCTAAAGTATTGCTCTTAGATGAAGCTACAAGTGCCATGGATTCACACAATGAACAAGTAAGCTTGTTTGTTTGTTTTTCTTTTCATCAATTGAAACTTCATCTTGATGTTTCAATTTTAGATTGTACAAGAAGCTCTTGAACAAGCTCAAAGAGAAGATTCTAGTCGAACATCATTCATTATTGCTCATCGTCTTTCAACTATCCGTTCATGTGATTTGATTTGTGTACTTGAAAGAGGACATATTGTGGAAAGTGGTACTCATACAGAATTGACACAACGACGTGGAGCTTATTATAAAATGCTTGCTCAAAGCAATTTACCATGATCATCAGTGAACTATTTTGAAAGTGAAAATGCACTTTGTTAAACATTAAGACAAACTTTGCTTGAAAAATCTCACACTTGATACAGCTATTTTGATCAATTTTATGTAGAGTTTTTATGTTTGATAAGAAGTTAAGTGTTTAATAGAGTTACACTATATTACATCAATTTTAAAACTTATTAGTCATATATAAAGATAGTAGAGACAATGATGATCTCAATAACTACTTTTTGAGTTGGATTAGTTCATGCAAAAACAATTAAGCATAAAAATAATTTACTCGTTGTATACTTTCACATGCGGTGATGATCGTCTAAAAATCAACCATTTTATCACGATTTATTAGTCCAATTAATTGTGAGATGATATGGCGATGAAATCGTCCAAAAAGACGGTTTCTTCTGATTTCTTCTCGATTTTTATTGAATGTGGCAATTTTTTAATGTCTTTTTTATAATTCATATTTTATACTCTACTCAAACGTTGCTCGGCACCCGGATCGACTGATCACTATAATCAATTTGATGTGTGATAAATCTTATAGATATGGCAATAATGATCATGAAGTTTTTCAACCTATATGGAAGAAATGAAATAGAATATTGCATGATTTTTGTTGAAAACAATACTTACCAACCATAATAGTCTAATTCGAGAAACTTGTCAAAAAACATATTAAGCGAAAATTTAGAATAGCAATTTCAATAATAGTGCACCTTACTATTCGTTGGTTTTTCGTTGGCGATCTCAAACTTGATGTTATATCTTTTCTGAAATACTTTATTCTTCTTAATTCACAAAGATTATAAAAGTATTTTCTTTTCTTCGCCATTGAAGAAAAGAAAAGCAATCCTTACGTAAAGTATTATGCTGTACAGCTTGTGGTAGCTTGTACAGAAAATGAAATGATTCGGATATACAATAGACATAGAATTACCTTCTTTTTGTTTTGCATTAGCTGAACTGAGTTCAATAACACATATTTAGTAGGAATCTTCAGAATATAACAAGCTATCTAATTCTGAGAATACTTTTGCAGCCATTATTTTTGAAAAATGATTACTTTAATATGTAGAAATATAAAAAAATATTGAGTAAAATGCTTTACTTAACCATTTAACAATGTTTATCGTCATGAAATGGTGGATGGGTGTGGGTGTGGGTGTGGGTGTGTGGGTAGGGTGGGGGGGGGGGGCAGGGGTTGAGTAGGGATCAAAGGCACACCCACACATTCACATCCGCACCCACACACCCACACACACATACATCCACACCCACACTCACACCCTCGATCGATTCATTCTTGAAAGATTACAGTCCAAACATATCGCAAAAAAATTATACAATTTGAATTTACTTGACTCTAAACCAATTATGAGGAGAGAGCAACGTTAACAGTTAAGTGACTCATTAACTGTTAATATCAACGAATTGAGTAATGTTTGTCGTCCACTTTTTGTTATTAATATCAATCGTTAGGTAAAGCTACTTAAGGTTTACATTAATTACGTTGTGTTAAAAAAAATAGTCCATCTCGAATGCTATAGTTCTTTCGACAAAACGTTAAAGCGCCTAAAAATTCAGGGAAAGAAATGTGATTGCTGTATAAGTGAAGCGTTTTCTATTGGTCCAACAATAAACTTTTTGTAGACATGAATGAGATCAATCAAAGGATAAGTGCCGGTAAGGCCATTTTTCATCCCCCATTATTTTCACATAAAAACAATCTAGACATAGTAAGACAACCATGGGGAACATTTTTTACGACTTAGTTTTTTGCAATTCGTCT